TTGACAGATTGTTGAACAGATTCGACCAAAATTTCACAAAACTCAACCAAATTGATTCAAACCAACACAGAAGTGTTCAAAAACAGATTACAAACAAGTTTTGTAAACAAAAACTTGCTAAAAACAGATCCAATTGGTCAATTTGATTAAAATTGATCAAAACAGTTTCAAGAACTTCAACAAACAGTCGATCACCAAAACGCAAATTTGGACACTGAATTCAATCCAGATTGACGAATTGAACAATAGAAATTAGTCACAAATGGTTTTAGATTAAATCCCAATCAAAATTTGAATCAAAACTCAAACAGAAATCGATTTTGAATTCAAAAGAATGGACAAAAAAGAGTTCGACAAGAACAGTTCAAGAAACTTCAAGTTCAATCAAATATGCTTCAATTTGATCTTTCTGGTTGCTGTAACTTGCTCTGATACCAATTGATGTTCCCAGATTCACAATCATTTAATCACAATCAAGAAGTTCATACAGATTAACGATGGCAGGTTTAGAGAGTAGAGAGAGAATATCTTCAAAGCTTAAAGTGTATTGATCTCCAGAATATGAAAATCACAATGCACGTACCATAGTTACAAGCAAACTACCTATTTATACAATACAATACAGAAAATTAAAATTGATGTTCCCATATTCACAATCATTCAATCACAATCAAGAAGTTCATATAGATTAACAATGGCAGGTTTAGAGAGTAGAGAGAGAATATCTTCAAAGCTTAAAGCGTACTGATCTCCAAAGTTTACAGAATATGAAAATTACAATGCACGTACCCAAAATTACAAGCAAACTACCTATTTATACAAACAGGAAATACAAGGAAATAAGTTTGAATACAATATAGAAAATTAAAACCCAACATCTTGTCGCATCAAGCACATGCGATAAACATCACTTGTCGCACCAAAGAGATGCGATAAACACAACTTGTTGCACCACACTGATGCGATAACACATCTCATCACATCAAACAAATGCGAGAACCTCATTTTGTCGCATCATATTGATGCGATATAACCAACTCATGGCATCACATTGATGCAATAACAACTCATGTGATCAAAGTTTCATCTTTAAACAATGCCGTGAGTATGCCACCCTTATCCCAATATACACCTCTCCTGATTATGCCACCCTTATTTCAAAATATACACCTCTCCAGATTATGCATGCTTTATTTCAAAATATATACCTCTCTAGATTATGCCACCTTTATTTCAAGATATACGTCTCTCCTGATTATGCCACTCTTATTCCAGACAGACAATTGATAATACAATATCAAAAACCCAAATATGCTAACAAATAGCAAATAGTTATGTCCAAAAACACCAAATTTCTAAACCCATAAGGTTCCTCATAAAAAGCATTTCAATTGAAGTTTTTGAAATATAAACTCACCTTGAATCACAGTTAGATGGATGACTAAACCGGCAAAAATTCAGATAAGACCATCCAGCCTAGTGCTAAAGGCTTGGGCATGGCATAGTCATGAACCCAAGTTCGAGCCCTGGGAGGGGAGTGTTGGCGACATTTAAGTGGGGCCATGTTTAGCCTCCAAAATTGCCGGGGATTAGTCGGGCGTTGGCCCGGACACCCTTACAAANTATCTTTATAAGAAATTATATTATTAAACCAAATATAAATTACTTCGTTATTGAACCTAAATTAAATTATAATAAAAAAATTGAATTAAAAAATTACACAAAATACAATGAATTTTAAATAGTTAATTTGATACTAATATCGATATATTTTTGTCAAATTTTTATGATATATTCAAATTTATATTTCGTTCAAAATTAAAAACATCATCGTTTTTTTTTAAATCATATAAGACCATATTATAACATCGATTGAGATAAAGAATAAAATGAAATGTTAAAATTAAGATGTATATCGTTGTATTACGTGAATACCTTCTAGTTATTAAGAATATAATTGATATAATAAACATATGATAATTATTTACGCTTAAAACTATAACGGTTTTTATGTAAAAGTCCCAGAAGGTTTTTTTTTGTTATGTGCACATAATAAAAATATCTAATATGGAAATGATCATTTATTATACAAATTTAGCCCCTCCATAATTATTGCTTCCAAATCTTTTTTTTATTTAATCTTATATACAAACACAAAACCTATATCTAGCTGGTTCTTTTGTTAACTCGATTTTTAGTGTTAACTTGGTAGATAAATAGGATTCATTGTTTGTGGTAGATTTCAAAAAGATATTGATTATGAGATATAAGACATAAGGGTAATATATATATATATATATATATATCAATTTTTCGTTTTATTTTTTATTTATGTTGATATAATACGATTTTATATGGTTTTGAAAAAGCGATAATGTTTTTTAAATTTGAAAATATCATATAAAATTTGCAAAAAAATATATTAATATTAGTATCAAATTAACTATTTTAAAGTTCTTATTTGTGTATTTTTTTAATTCAAAATTTTTATTATAATTTAATTCATGGTAACGAAGTAACTTTATTTAGGTTTAATAATATATTTTTTTATAAATATAATAATTAAGTATCATGTTAGAACTCAATAATTATCCTAATTATACTTTAGATTTTTTATATTTTAAAAATTAGTTGTTTATCCTCTATTTGATTATGTTTATCCGCAGTTAGTTACACGAATTCAAACATAGAGCTTTAATAAGTTGTACTTATGCATAATTTACTTGTAATCTTGAATTTTAAGTAATATGCATCAATAAACAGTACTTCATGCATAAAAAATGGTTTTTAAGAGTTTGTCAAATGCTTTAAAATATAGTATATATATATATATATATATATATATATATATATATATATTTAAGATGAGGCAGTGGGTTTAAGATTTTTAAACCATATATCCAAAACACACCATTCAACGTTTCACAACATTGCAAAATCCACCCCAAACTTTCAAATCAATTTAAAAAGAATACCTGGTTATAACATAGGCGTATTCACGAGGCTCACTAAGGCCCTGTGCCTTGGCTGAGGCACCTTGTAGGGCTAGGTGCGCCTCATAAGGACTTTTTAAATACCAAGTCAAACCCTAATATTAAAAAAGCTTTCTCACTTCTTATCTTCTACACGTCTTAAAAAAAGAGTTGTTAAATAGATGATATAAGTCAAACCGTAATATTAAATGCACGGTTCTTATAACTTCCAACATCTTGTACTTGCTACATATTTGAGTTGTGTGTAACTGTGTGTGTGTATATATATAATTTTTTTAGATAAGATGCGCCTCGTGCCTTGGCCCCTGGACCCCTTTGTGCCCAAGTGCACCTTGAGTGTTTAACAATTTTGGACACCCCTAGGAGCAAGAATTTCCAAAAACATTTGGAACATTTGCTTATCTTGCTAATTTTGAACTTGTAGGGTGCTGGGGTTTGGGGATTGGCGAGGATGGTTATTATGTTGTTTAACTTTGTTTTTGAAGCTTTTATGATTTGTCTAACAAAATCGCGTCCAATTATCACTTTGCCTAGCAGAGAGGCATTATGAATCTGAGTTCTGTCCTGTTCAATGTGGTTCGTTGTGTAAAAGTCAAGCGAAAGTTCAATGCAGTAGTTGGTGGTCCATTTCGATGAGCATTTACTTTTTAAGGCTATTATAACTGTTCTTCGTAGTATGAGATATGAGTTGAGTCCTTGAGAGTTGCTACTTGGCTCTTATGTTCTTGTTTAATGTATTCATTTTATTGAAGCTAAATGATTTGTTTAATTTTTCTGGGTGCATATGATGCTATTTGAACTTATAGGCTGTTGGGCAAAACACATTAGTTTTGATGGGGTGGGGAGGATAATTATTTTATTGTGCTAAATTTGTTTCTGAAGCTTTTATGATAATTTGGTAATATTTGTGGCCCTTTATCACTTTGCATGATAAAGTGCCTCTATGAGTTATGATCACTCCAAGTCCTTTCTCGTTCAGTGGGGTTTGTTGTGTAAAAGTCAAGCGAAAGTTCAATGCAGTAGTTGGTGGTCCATTTTGATGAACGTCTACTTTTAAGGCTGTTAGAACTTTTTTTCTTACTATCCATATCAGTTGAGTCCTCGACAGTTGCTACTTGGCTCTTATGTTGTTAAATTTATTCTGTTTTTTTGCTGAAGCCAAATGATTGCAGTGTGATCCTGTTTGCAAGCATAAGTTTCATTTCGGTTAAATGTTTTGGAAATAAATGAAGTTCATATCAGGCTATTTTTAAACTTGTAGGATGTTGTGTTTAGTTAGAGTTTGGGGAGGATATTTATTCTATTGTTTAAATTTGTATGTGAAGCCTCCTGATAAGTTGGTGAAAGTTCTGTTCAATTTTCACTTTGTATCATAAAGAGGCAGTATGAATTGGATATCATTCTTCTTTGTGATAAATGTGATGTTGGATAGCTGAATTTATGCCTAAAGAAGGCTTTATAGAATGTGAGTATGAAGATCATAATTTATGTACTTTCATTTATTGCACTTYATATGTTAAATACTTACATCCTAGTAACATCAATTTCTAATGCAATTGGATGTGATTTGTTTACATGCTATTCACTGGCCAATCTCTTTTATGTGGTTATAAATATCAGCAGTCTATATCGACGTATGCTGCAGTTTTGATTCTCTAGTTGGGAGGTCACTATTTCTTGATTTGTGATAGTATTAGCTCATATTGAGCCAATACCTATTCTGTCCTTTTACCAGGCAGAATAAAGTATAGAAAATGGAGTATGAGTTTTTGAAGATGATATACGGTGATGATGTTAAATCAAAGAGTTTTTCATTGCACCTGAGGTACTTGATTACATGATCCTGAAGTTGTAAATAGCAGCCTTATGCATTTCATGTAAGGACCTGTCGCTTGGTTACTTCTTTGAACTCATTTTAGGGATAAATTAGAAATGTGTAATTGATAAATGGAATTGTGTCGCTCTCTTTTGTTAAGGATGTCCAATTCTTGTTGAATTTTCTTGCAGTGCCTCGAAATTTCAGATTGCTGGAGGAGCTTGAGCGTGGAGAAAAGGGTATCGGAGATGGCACAGTGAGTTATGGAATGGATGATGGAGATGACATTTATATGCGCTCTTGGACAGGCACCATCATTGGTCCTCACAACGTAAACTCCTTTTCTCTCGTCTTTTACGGTTTTCTTTGTCCCCAAAAGGACAAAGATGGAAGTGATTTTCAAAGTTACCCATTATTTTTATGGGTTATGGGGAAAAGATATTTGTTAATTCACTTATGAATATGATCACGTGTAAAGTTGTCCAAAGAAACTGTTCTAAGTTCCCTCTCGATTTTAAGGTGGGCCCTCGTATGGAATGGAGTTAGCGAGCATAGTAGATTGATATTTATGTTTGTTTATCTTATACATAATAGTTGTTCATATGGTATTGTGTGATCGTATTGTGGTGGTGTTTCAGTCTGTACATGAAGGACGGATTTACCAATTGAAGCTATTCTGTGACAAAGACTACCCAGAGAAGCCTCCTAGTGTGCGATTTCATTCTCGCATCAACATGACTTGTGTCAACCATGAAACTGGAGTGGTAGGAACTATTACCTATTTGCAATTAATTATCATATAACATTTTCTTATGCTATTTTTTCAATGTTGCTTTTCATCCTTTCTTCAATATGATACTTTTTAACCATGGCCCACGAAGGAACGGAAACCCAAAGGCTATAACTTACATGGGGATGGGTGATACCCGTAGCGCTAAGATTTACAGAATGACTAGGATTCAAGCATAACCAAAAGAAATAATATATATATAGAACTGATATTCAATACATGATTTGCTCTTCCCTGCAGAACATAGATTTTTAGTAGTCAATAACTGCATACAACTTTGACCATTGAGAGTCAAACATCATTCTTTTTTTGAGAGTTGGGATTATGCGAGAACAAAATTTTTGGTGTGAACACTTTTGAGCCTTGGATGAGTTTTTTTTATAGCTAATGATGGCTCACAAAAACACGGGCCCTCATCCTCCTACACCTTCACCTACTTTCATGTGTATGAATTTGTTAAAGTTCCAGTCATTGTGATACAAGTAGGTATGCAGAGGTATAAGAAAGTGTGGATGAATTAATGTGACCGCATTAAATTGCACATTGCAAAATAAAAAATAGCTGTGGTGAACCCTGAAGGGTGCTTAACCAGTAAGACTTTGAGTTTGCTCCTCATAGGTAAACAACTCAAGTGTCTAAAGGGTCACATGAGGCCCCCATGGGATTGGTAAAGGTGTGAATAAGCTGTTTTGGACACTTATGGCTATGAAAAAGTAGTCTATTAGGTAATAAAATATAGCAAATGGTGTTTAATAACTGAAATGAATAGGTGGAAGCCAAGAAGTTTGGGATTCTGGCAAATTGGCAGAGAGAATACATGATGGAAGACATACTGATACAGCTGAAGAAAGAGATGGCAGCTCCCCACAATCGTAAGCTTGTCCAGCCACCAGAAGGAACTTTCTTCTAGGAATTATTATTATTATTTAAAAAAAAAAACAGGATGTTATTTGAAATTAATGCTTCTTCTGAATACACTGCTGCTTGATTAATTAATCCTTGTTTGTGTCTACTGTCTGTTATGTAATATGGTATTGCTTTCCTTTTCACTAACTCCATTCATTTTTGGATCCATCTGATTGAATGGCTTAATTCAAACCTTGTGTTGCATGAAAATGCTTATTCTGTGCCCATAGAATAAAACTCAAAATAAAATAGTGGCTTATTTCTTTTCTATTGATTCTCAAGAAGCAAAGCTATCTTAATCATTAAGGAACAAGACATTCCTTCACTGCCCAACTTGAAAAAACCTTGGGATTGCAGAATGATAGAAAAGTTTGTGTCTTTTTTGTGAATGGTTCCAAGGGTCTTGTTTTTGTTGATAAAAAGAGAAGAGAAACATTGTATGTGAATAATTGATTAGTTTTATTTACAAGAAAATGTTAAAGTTGGCCAACTAAAAGAAAAGCCCTTGTTTTAAAGGAGTTGCTGCTATACTAACCACGTGCAAAACATGTGCGCCGGTTTTTTAGCAATTTAGCAACTCAAGTCCGCCGCCGGTTTTTGATTTTTATTTGACCATGTGCAAAACATGATTTTTGATTTTTAATTAACCATGTGCAAAATATGGTTTGTATTGGGGGTGGCTAATGGCACCCCTATTCTTTGCTAATGCCACCCCTAATCCCCTATGTAATCATTTTGTTTTGTTTCTTTTTTGTTTTTTTGTGCTTTTCTTGTCTTGTCTTTTCTTTTTATATTAATTTCATTTTATTTAGTTTATTTAAATATAAATATATATATTATTATTATAAATATTATTTATTACCTTGTAAAATTTTTATTATTACTAAAAAATATTAATTTTTTATCATAATTTCTATAAAATATATTATATATTT